TAAAATTGTAAAAAGTGCATAACATGCATCTAAACCCTGAAATAAAGAAATAATTAATATTTGTAATAAAAACAATAAATTAGAAAAAAAAATTAAATAATGTTCAGCAAGGTAGCTTCGCCTGCTATAGCATTCTCAATTTCATAGGTAAAACCGTTCGCTATAGGAATATCTTCGTATATCCGCCTCACATACCCCACTGTGTATATATATATATATATATATACATATATATATATATATATATATATATATATATTATATATATATATATATATATATATATATATATATATATATATATATATATATATATATATATATATATATATATACATACATACAGTATTACCTACTAACGCAAGTTTCACTTAACGCTTTTATCATATACACGTGCCTCGCCAGAGCTGAACTTTCACTTAACACGAATTTTTCATCATATCGGAAGCGCGCCAAGCACTCCACGCTAACAAGGTCGCCCAGTCATCAAAACATTACCGAGTTCTTCACCCCACACCCACCACAGCCGCCCAAGTCAGTGATAGTGATAATTATAGTGAGGATAAGGACTTAGGTATGGCCTTTGAGGTTTGACAAAGAGGCCCTGCAAGCTCTCTGTGGTGGATAGTGATACAATTGATACAAGTGATACAGGTGAGGGCAACACCTGCCCTCTGCCCTAGAACCCGCAAAGCCAGCCATCTTTTCTACCAATGTAAGTGTTAAAACCTAATATTATTGATATTTCAATCATTAATTGTGTGTGCATACCATCATAAAATAAGAAGTTATTTTACTACAATGCAGGTATTGTGTCGCCAAAAAGTGAGCTTGGGGTCGGCCAATCTCTATTGGAATTAATCCCATATGTCTCTGTTGTTCACTTAACGCGTTTTCCTTAACGCGCAACCCTGTGGGTTCAATTGATCATGCTAAGCGGGTAATTACTGACATATATATATATATATCGCATATATATATATATAATGATATATATATATACAATACGATATATATATATATATACGTTATATATATACAGTGGTATGCTATAATCTAACGGATCCTACCACCTAATATCTCCATACCAAAACAGTCTAATCTATAAAATTGAGAATGCTATAACGAACGAAACCCTACAACGAACATTATTTAATTTTTTTTTTTTTTTTTTTTTTTTTTTTTTTTTTTTTATTATTGTTTTTTATTACAAGAAAAAAAACCAAAAATGTATATTTTTCACAATTTTTATATTATTATCAGTGCTGTATCATTTGGGGCCCGGAACAGATTAATCCTATAACTAACAAAGTCAAACGATAATGTTGCTGAACCAACCAGATTCGTTACCATACCCCACTGTATATATATATATATATATATATATGCTGATCACACTCACAGTGATACTAAGTATATATATATATATATATATATATATATATATATATATATATATATATATATATATATATATATATATATATATATATATATATATATATATATATATATATATATATATATATATATATATATAATATATATATATATATATATATATATATATATATATATACAGGGGTATGCTACAACGAATCTAATTGGTTCTAGAGCCTTGTTCGTTATAGATTAACCGCCCAGGCCCCCAAATACAACCACTTAACACTGAAAATATAATATAAAATTGTAAAATTGTAAGAAAGTGCATAAATATGCATCTAAACCCCTGAAATAAAGAATACATTAATATTTGTAAAAAAACAATAAATTAGAAAAAAAGAAGAAAAAAAAATTAAATAATGTTCGCTGTAGGAGTTTCGTCATATAGCATTCTCAATTTTATATAAACCGCCTTTATAGGAATATTCATAGTAGGATCCGTCAATATAGCATACCCCACTGTATATATATATATATATACTGTACAGCATTACCCCGCTACGCGGGTTTCACTTACGCCATTTCTCATACAGTTGTGTAACCTCACTTAACGCCGGTCAATTGAACCCAGAGGGTCCGCTAAGTGAAATCGGCAGTGAACAACAGAACATATGGGATCTAGAAACCGCCGCACTTCAAACTCCACTTTTGAAGGCACATACCTATGTTGTAGTAAAATAACATCTTAATTTTATGATGGTACATGCACACAATTAATACTTAAGAGAAATAGAGAAATACAGCCAAGTTAATGTCCATTCAAATAATGGACTCTCAACTCCCTCCCCTCTCACACTACACTGCTTGGGGGAAAACCACACAAATTTTAATAAATAATACCTCAAACTAAAGTTAGGATAATACAATTGACATTGCTGGATTCCTTGTAAGACCAGGAATATTTTGAATATAAATGTCATATATTTTGCACAAAAGATAACATAGTTACCTAGAGAAAAAAATTTTATCTAAAAATTGTATGTTAAATGCAAAATATATGATGTTTATATTCAAAATGATCACCAAATTATAAGAATTCCAATAAATTATATTCTGACTGGTAATTTGTATGAATTTTATGAGCTAAACAAATATCTTCAGTTAATAAAAAAAATAATTTTCACGGAACAGATGGTCGGTCGGTCTCTCTCCCCCACCCCCACCAACCGCCCCAAGGAGATGTGTGTGGATAACCACTAATTTATTAAATAATATTAAACTAAAGTTAGATAATATATTGACATTGCTGGATTCTAAGACTAGGAATATTTTGAATATAAATGTCATATTTTTGCACAAAAGATAACATAGTTACCTAGAGAAAAAATTTTATCTAAAAATTGTATGTTTAATGCAAAATATATGATGTTTATATTCAAAATGATCACCAAATTATAAAATCAGCAATTTAAATTATATTCTGGCCGGGTAATTTGATATGAATTTTTGAGCTAAAACAGGCAGTCAGGCAGGGTGGGGCAAATCTAAAATAGCGCTTCGAATTGACACTCACCGTGTATATGTGGAAAAAATCTGGGTGTTAAGTGTGAAGTTCGAGGCAACACCAGATATGATAAACGCTTTTAAGTGAAACCGCTATGGCGGGTAATACTGTATAATGCTGTGCCTCGCCAGAACTAACTTTCACTTACCGCGTTCATCTACCCATATACTGAAGTATAATTTTTTTTTTTTTATTTAGCTCATAAAATTCATACAAATTACCCGCCAGAATATAATTTATATTGTTGAATTCTTACAATTTGATGATCATTTTGAATATAAACATCATGGATTTTGCATTAGACATACAAATTTTAGATCTAATGTTTACTTTGAGTAAATTTGTTATCTTGCAAAAATATATGACATTTATATTCAAAATATTCCTGGTCTTACAAGGAATCCATCAATGTCAATTATATTATCCTAACTTTAGTTTGAGTTACTATTTATTGCTAAAAAGGTAAATATTCTGGTTTTCCACACATTTATCTGGTAGGAGGAAGGGTGGGATGGACCGACCACCAACCATCTGGCAATGGTGAAGAATATTTTTTTTATTAACTGAAGATATTTGTTTTAGCTCATAAAATTCATACAAATTACCCGCCAGAATATAATTTACATTGCTAATTCTTGCAATTTGATGATCATTTTGAATGTAAACATCATAGATTTTGCATTAGACATACAAATTTTAGATCTAATGTTTACTCTGAGTAAATATGTTATCTTTTGTGCAAAATATATGACATTTATATTCAAAATGATCCTGGTATTACAAGGAATCCAGCAATGTCAGTTATATTATCCTAACTTTAGTCTGAGGTATTATTTGTTACTGAAAGTTAAAATTAGTTTTTTCACCCAACATTTCTCTGTAGGAGGGAGGGTGGGGGGAGGTTTGGGACCAACCGCACCATCTGGCTGTTGGAAGAGGGGAGGCAAGTTGGGGTACTTTGATTGACAGATAGTGTCATGAAGAATATTTTTTTTTATTAACTGAAGATATTTGTTTTAGCTCATAAAATTCATACAAATTACTGGACCAGAATATAATTTACATTGCTGGAATTCTTACAATATGATGATCATTTTGAATATAAACATCATGTATTTGCATTAGACATACAAATTTTAGATCTAATGTAATAATTTGGTTTACACATAGCAAGTAATTTATCTTTTGTGCAAAATATATGAAGTTAACATTCAAAATATTCCGACCTGCAAGGAATCCAGAAATGTCAATTATATTATCCTAACTTTAGTCTGAGGTATTATTTGTTACTAAACCTTAAAATCTAGTGTTTCACCCAATCATTTCTCAGAGAGGTAGCCAGTGAGCTGGGAAGAGGGTGGGGGTGAGTGAGATTTGAGTCCATTTTTGAATGGACATTAACCTGCGACTGTATTTCTCTTAAATTTCAATTGTGTGAGCATACCATCATAAAATTTAGATGTTATTTTTACTACAATATAGGTTGTGTCGAAAAAGTGGAGTTTGGGGGTCGGGCCGCTTCTATTGGAATTAATCCCATATGTTCTGTTGTTCACTTTTACGGGTTTTCACTTTCCAGCCCTGTGGGTTCAATTGACAATTGACCGCTGCACGTAATCGGGTACTACTGTATACAGCATATATAATAAAATTTTATTTGCTTTTCATTTAGTGTTTAATTTTCTTTGTTTAAAGGACTGTACAGGTCGTCATTTTCTGTTAAACTTATACAGCAAATATAACCATCAGTTTTCCGGATTTTGAAAATCTGGCACTCCTCAGGTCCCGAGGTTGCCGGATTTTTGATAGTCAACCTGTATTAGTGTAAATAAATATAAAGCAAGCAATGACTGATTTTGTTCATCATACTATCTGAGTAAGGTACAGCACTTTGTTTACATTTTTTACATTCAGATTGGTCATGCATCCAAACTTTTTTCTTCTCTTTTTTTTAGAATTTGAACATCTTCTGAACCCAGACTTTCAAGGTTTGGCTGTAATTAAAAAATGAAATGATTCTGTGCTGTCATGTCTTATGTTGATCCTTTTTCAGGTATTTAACAGACTGTGGGGTGTGACATTAGATACAGGAGCTTCTCCATTAACCCCTGTTGATTTGTTGGTGTCCCTTCACCTCATTGAAAGCAACAAGTGTGATGTAAAGACTGTTATCAAAGGTAGAGTAAATAATTATTCATTATAGTTTGTTCTCATTTTTTAGCTTATGTGTCTTAGGATAGACTCTGATGGCTATATCATATACAGTAAGTGTGTGTATATATATATATATATATATATATATATATATATATATATATATATATATATATATATATATATATATATATATATATATATATATATATATATATATATATATATATATATATATATATATATATATATATATATATATATATATGTCCTATGTTTATATTAACTTGAATCTACCTTTAATCTCTAAATAAGTGAAACAATAAGCTTTCTTACCAATTGATGGAGTTTTTATGTCTCTTTATTAAACTGAAGTAGTATATTTATGGCAGAGGGGAAAATGCAGCTGTTTCCCTTCGCAGTTGAATCAGAAACATACATTATATAAACACTCCATGATCCCAACAAACCCCTTTGCATGTCTTAAATTGTCTTCAACTTCGCCATAAACAAACTAACAAATACAGTACAGTGGAACGTCGATTTAAAGTTTATTCATTTTAAGATTATTGATTTAAAGTTACACCCACAATTAAAGACAATGTTTTAATATAAAGTGAATCATTCCTATTTTCTACGAGTCAGTCTGGTACATCATATTTTAAAATTCGCACCTAATGTTTCTCTGGGCATACTACACTGTCCTAAGGTCAAAGCTGTACTGTACATGTACTCAAAATAATGTACTAAATGATTACTGAAATTTTGGTCTACCGTATATCACGGCCTATAAGACGAAATTTGAACATTAAAAAAATCTGCCCAAAGTTAGGGGGTCGCTTAAACCACCAAGTTTAAAAATTTACCTCAAATATTGTGGTTTAGTGTGTCAAGAGTGGTGATGAAAACATCGTAGCCACTCACAAGGTCTTACCACTAATTATTTTATACTGAAACTTACGCTTGCAAGCTGGATTCAAATTAAGATTACCGTATATTAAAATAATAAAATGTATTATAAACCTGTCTAACATACCGTAAAAGAGATTTATACCCCTGAATAAACACAGCTATCATCACACACCCTCCCCACGCCCCCCATTTGCCAGTGAGGAGACAAGAAAGGAAAAGTGCATTAATTTTGAAACTATCGACCGTTAATTACAGACGCCAAGTGACGTCACTAGTAGTTTACACTACACCAGCTGGTAATATTTGATGCCATTACTATGAATTGGCCTTATTTTAAGTAACTAACTATAAATAAATACAAAAATTAAAAAAAGATCAAAACTGAGAAATAATATACTGTATGTATGTTGTGTTGTCAAAGTAAGAGGAACAATTGTGTAAGTACGTAATATTTTTTCACTCAAATCCTAATGAAACACTACTGGAGAACATTCCTTTGTCGCAAAACAGTTTATAAATTGAAGAAAATAATTACAGTGTGTTTAATATATTACAGTATATTATAAATAAATAAATAAAACAAATAATTCGGTAAATCTATTTAAAGTAAATGGAAAATAAGCAAACATGTTATTTACCAAGACCCTTCCGTCTGGCTCAGGGTGAGATGGAGGGGAGATAACAAGCTATTTATAGCCCATTTGAAGTGACCAGTACCCTAATGCACCATAAATAATTCATTGAACATTCATTTTTTGTACATAGTATATTCAGTATATATATATATATATATATATATATATATATATATATATATATATATATATATATATATATATATATATATATATATATATATATATATATATATATATATATATATATATTTGTGTAATAAATGTATGTAGTAAGTACATACTGGTAACCTTTTTCACTCAAATCCTAATGAAACACCACAATTAGAATAAGGTGGTTGCTGTTGAACCACATGTTGTATAAATAGTCACACCACCGAGACGAGGGAACACTCCCAACACGCTTCAGTGACGTCACTAGCGTTTACACTACACCAGCGGGTATAATTTGATGACATTACTTGAAGTGAATTGGCCTTATTTTAAAAAATCAAGGATGGTTGGTAAAGGACTACTGAGTCAGTGGGTAAGTGTCACATTTGGGGTACTGGTCTTATACAGCAAATAGAGCTCAAAAGCTACTTTTTAAATGGAAATTTGGGGGGGGCGTCTTATGCACCCCGCCGCCTTATAGGCCGTGATATACGGTAGTGCAAACTATAGCATGATTATATTCAAATTAACCACTGTCTTATAAGAATTCCAGCAATGCAAATTATATTCTCCCCGGTCACATTTTATAAACAAAAAACTAAAATTCAATGAAAAGGACATAAATAAACAAATAAATACTTCACTAGACCTTCTGCCCCCAACTGTCAAACATGTCACCTCCCCCCATCTTCCCAGCCAGGGTTGAGTGGTTGTAGACTTAGTTTTTATCTTATATAATATCACAAACTAAAGTTAGGAGAATATAATTTGCATTTCTAAAATCCTTGCAAGACAGCGAATAATTTGAATATGAACGTCATATTTTGCACACGAGATAAATTTTTTTAGCCCTTTAATAAAATTAATTAGAATATGTCAGTTCAGTGACTTTTGTAAAAGAAAAACTAAAAGGCAGTCTTTTTAGTATTTTGTGTTTCTCTCAAGTACCAAACTAAATTATTCCATTGAAACAATACTTTGATTTAGTGCGAATTCAGTTTAAAGTGACCTCTCTTTGTACATATCTTGTGTTATATCAACGTTCTACTGTACAGTATTTCTCTTTCAACTAACTTCGGTGACTCTGAAATACTTAAAAAAAGTTTCACTCCTGATTGCTTTTGTTTCTTTTTAAATCATCACACTAAATAATTCTTCAAAATTGTTTATTTACTATTTTCTTTCAAACATGCATATTGTGAAAAAGTATTGTACTATCCAGCATTACACCACAATTATATCGACATCCTTCATGCTGGTTTGGCTAGATGGCTACGAAAGAAATTCTGTAAATTTGATCTACATAACCCAGCTGGCGCTGGTTCTGTATGGCAATTAGACCAACTCAACTGTAATAACAAAGCACAGAGTTGACTTGAGGGTAGACTCGCATTTTTTTTCTACATTACATTTTGTTGTCGTGTTTTTTATATCGGTATGTGAAAGGATTTTCTCATTATTTATTTGTATGCATTTTAATAATAATAATAATTAACGGTTTATTGAAAGAGCATGGCAGCTGAAAGGCTGAAAATATACAGTTACATAATTGGGGCATGGGCCACTTGATTGACAAATAATATAAGTGATACAAATATGATATATAATAACTAAGTGGGGAGAAGGTTCTACTACAGCACATTTCAACATAGTGACAGTGCAAAAGGGTAAGATTGGCTGAGAGTGAATACATACAAGTGGTTTATAATTTTTATAATGGCTGGGACTGGGCTGTTCTTATAGCATGTGTGTGTGTGTGTGTGTGTATGTGTACACACACACATATACAATATAGGTGAAAGAAATAATTACCCTAAGGGCAAACACCTAAAGGGAATATACATTTCTTTGTACACAAGTACACTTCTTTATGCAATTCCACCACAATTATCTTATAATTTGGGATCATTTGGTGTCAGGTTGATAAAAATATTATCCTAAAAGAATCAACTTTCCTGAAAAAAAGAATCCCACCCTGAACTGAGTCTATTTTTTTACAAAGAGCAAACAGCTGATCGGTTTACCACTATGTGTCTTCAGCTCTTAGTAAATTAGTACAGTATACTGGTGTACAGTGGTCCCTCGGTTAACGAAATTACCTTCCATAAGAATCTTCAATTCGGTTAACGAACAAAAATTTGATTAACGAAATCCTTACAAAAATCATGTTTGGTTATGAGCATCAGCTGGTCAGCTGATGGCCTAGTCTGCCAATTCAGCAATCTGTTCTGTTTACATTCATTTCCAATGAAGTAAATATCAAGAAAGTTAAACTCTTAAATATTTTTGCATGTTTTATATTAAAATTATTAGTCATTTTAACATTTATTTAACATATTGTTAATATTTGCAGTGCAGGGAACTAGTTAGTTGTGCACCCATCAGATGCATGATTCGCTCACAAGGCGTCAGTTGAGACTTTGAAACGGTGTAGAGAGCATCTATTTTGTTGGTGTCTTGAATATTTTTGCATTTTTCATAGAAATTATTGGTCATTCTGAACTTTAGTTAACATATTGATAATATATAGCACAGTGCAGTGTTGATTTAAAGAAAATAATCTTGAATTACACCTAGTGAACTTAAAATTTTATTAGTGAAATGACAGCATCAAGCATGGGTCCACTGAACAGTGATTTCTCCTCCGTCCCCACTTCCTTCTCTTCTCCCTTCTCTTTCACCCCCACTTCCTTCTCTTCTCCCTTCTCCTCCACCCCCACTTCTAATTCTCATCATCATCATCAACAAGGAGCCTTCTACATACACACCTCAAAGTAAGTGTACTTTACTGCATTTTTTTTACTTTGTATGTAATTTTCAGTGAGCTGGAACCAATTTCCCAAAATCCCATTGAAACAATGGGTTCGGTTTACGAACGACCTTCTGGAACGAATTGTGTTCGTTAACCGAGGGACCACTGTATAGGAAAATGTGGCGAGAATTGCCAGCTTGGAACGCATTCCACCCCGCTCCTCTTCCCTACCCACACACTATTTACATTAATTTTTATGTGGAAAATTATCCCGATATTCACAAATTCATTACAGAGTATTTGCAATGACTTTTAGGAATGGATCCATTGCAATACCTGAGGTATTCTTGTAGACTTTACTGTATTTTTATTTTTTTCCCAGCAACTGGATTGTGTTTTGCTGAACGTAGTATCTACACAGCTGAGGTGCTGGCATTTGTTCTGCAGCAACTGATGGAACAACCAAGCTTACCCACATTGTTTATGCGAACTGTTATTCAGACCCTCACACATTACCCAAAGTTGTTGGGTTTCATAATGAACATTTTGCAGCGACTCATTTCACGACAGGTTAGGTTATGATACTTGTACAGAGTATGTGTATCTTTCTGCAGTACTGTACAGTAGTTTGTTGCATACATACAGTATTATTAATTTATTACTTAAAGTTTTAAATTTTTTTCATCTTTTAATATTGGGATCTTTAGAGTACTTTTGTAATATTATAGTAGATAATATGTAGTACTGTAATGTTTGGGAATTTCTCTTTGCTATTATTATTGTTTGATTCTGTACATTAATGGTTTTTAATATTTTTTTTTGCATTCATGTAGTATGTTTTTATTTATTAGGGTGGCATTGGTGTCTTGGGATTGACACAGATTGTTTTATACATAGGTTTGGAAGCAGCGTAAAGTGTGGGAAGGTTTCATCAAATGCTGTCAGCGTGCTGGTACACAGAGTTTCACAGTACTGCTCCAGTTGCCTCCAGCTCAGCTTGCAGATGTCTTCACAAGTGCCCCTGACCTCCATACAAAACTAATTTCACATATAGCAACTTTAACTGAAAATCAGGTAAGAAGTTTATGCAGGAAAGCTTCCAATAACAATGTTTCTACAGGTTGACAATCCCTTATCCGCGAAATCCTTGGGACCAGATGCATTTCGGTTTTTGTAATTTTTCGGATTTCGCAATGGTTAGTTTTTTTTTTTTTTTTTTTACAGGGATCAGCCCACCCGGGCACAGCAGGTCACTGACTCACATTGGGACCTGGGGGCTAAAATATAATAATAATTATAATACAGTCAACCCTCACTTTACGCGGTTAATATAACCCACAGGGTACCGCGGAAAGTGAGAAACGAGTAAAGTGAACAACATAACATATGGGATTAAATGAAATAGAGACCGGCCGACCCCCAAACTCCACTTTTTCCGACACAATACCTATGTTCTAGTAAAAATAACATCTTAATTTTATGATGGTACATGCACACAATTAATACTTAAGAGAAATAGAGAAATACAGTCGCCAAATTAGTGTCCATTCAAATAATGGACTCAACTCCCTCCCCCTCTTCTCACACTACACTCGCTGGCTCTTCCCTCTCTGAGAAATTTTTTGGGGAAAACCACTAGATTTTAAGGTATAGTAATAAATAATACCTCAAACTAAAGTTAGGATAATATAATTGACATTGCTGGATTCCTTGTAAGACCCGGAATATTTTGAATATAAATGTCATATATTTTGCACAAAAGATAACATATTTACTCAGAGTAAACATTAGATCTAAAATTTGTATGTCTAATGCAAAATCTATGATGTTTATATTCAAAATGATCATCAAATTGTAAGAATTCCAGCAATGTAAATTATAATTCTGGCCGGATAATTTGTATGAATTTTATGAGCTAAATAAAAAGATTTTACTTCACCCGTTTAAAGGGGTACACGCACCGCGGGGTGTGAGCATCCTGGGTTCTGGCAGGGCACCGCGTAAACGTGGAAACGTGGAATGTGGGTCCGCGTAAAGTGAGGGTTGACTGTAATAATAATAATAATAATAATTCATAGGTCTAGGTCATGTTTCTCACTTTTGATCTTTTTTTTCACTCTTGTATTTCTTTATTATTATTATTATTATTTCATTATTACAGTATTATTGTTATTATTATTATTGTTGTTTTCATTCTTATTTTATTTTTGTGTATTTTTTATTAAAAATTTTATTTACTATGAATAATTATTATTATTACTGTATTATCGTTATTATTATTACAGTAGTACCCCGATTTACGCGGTCAATTGGGTCAATTGAACCCACAGGGTACCGCGGAAAGTGAAAACCGCGTAAAGTGAACAACAGAACATATGGGATTAATTCCAATAGAGACTGGCCCGACCCCCAAACTCCACTTTTTCCGACACAATACCTATGTTGTAGTAAAAATAACATCTAAATTTTATGATGGTATGCTCACACAATTAATATTTAAGAGAAATACAGTCGCCAGGTTAATGTCCATTCAAATAATGGACTCAAATCCCCCCCCTCTTCCCAGCTCACTGGCTCCTCCCTCTCTGAGTAATGATTGGGTGAAACACTAGATTTTAACGTTTAGTAATAAATAATACCTCAGACTAAAGTTAGGATAATATAATTGACATTTCTGGATTCCTTGCAGGTCAAGGAATATTTTGAATGTAAACTTCATATATTTTGCACAAAAGATAAAATACTTGCTTTGTGTAAACCAAATTATTACATTAAATCTAAAATTTGTATGTCTAATGCAAAATCCATGATGTTTATATTCAAAATGATCATCATATTGTAAGAATTCCAGCAATGTAAATTATATTCTGGCCGGGTAATTTGTATGAATTTTATGAGCTAAAAAAAAAAAATTATACTTCACGCGTATATGAGTAGATGCACCGCAGAAAGTTAAAGTCCGGTTCTGGCAAGGTACCGCGTAAATGAGAAATCACGGAAAGTGAAACTGTGTAAAGCGGGGTAATACTGTATTATAATTATTATTACTATTACATTTTCACCCCCCAGGCCCTGATGTGGGTCAGTGACATGTGCCCGGGTGGGCTAATACCAAAAAAATAAATAAATAAATAAATAAAAAAAAATGATCCATAAAAATTTTCGGTTTTCAGAATTTCGGATAAAGAGTTGTCAACCTATACTAACAACAATTCATATTTAAAACCCTGGTTAATTTAGGACCCAATTCAATTTATGCTGTTATTTTATTTGTATTTACGATTAAAATAGAAAAAAACATTTTCATATAAATAATATTGTCCATGTGTAACAGTTCAGAGATGTTGATGATAATTATGTTCCTTTGATATACTGGCTGTTAACTGTGGGTATCTATGTCATCATATTTTATTACAGTATTGTTTTCTGTAATGAATATTTTTTTTCATCCTAACAGAGAGCTCATTTACCAGCTAACTTGTTGGAAGTGATTGAAGGTCATAGTGCATCTGAGCAGTCCTGTTCTATACCAAGTGAGCCTTCATCAGCACCACAAGAGGTAATATTATTTTATTTTATTTATTTGTTTTTATTCTTTTAAATTAGAGCAGGCACGGGCAACCTACAGCCTGTGGGCTGCATGCAGTCCAAACCATGTCTATGTGCAGTCCCCAGAGTATTTGAGAAATTCTAATTTATGTGGCCCATGGTTTAAGTAGATGCAGCCAGTTTATAGTGAGTAAAACAATATTTATTAAAAGAATAATCTTCACACAACTCATTACCGTTTCATCACCTAAGAGTAAGTAACTACGAAAACGTAACAGTTAAATAAGTATAAATAGTCAACAATATACTGTAAATATTTTAACTTGTGTGAATATATATATATATATATATATATATATATATATATATATATATATAAAAACGGATAAGATACATCTTGATAGAACACGTTACTTCCAGTCGATGTAAAAAATATGGGACCCACTAAATATCTATCCTACATCTAGCTCTAAGGTTTTCAAAGCATTTTTAATCTTGGGGCACTGACAAATAAATTTATGTAACATATTAACAGTTTTGTACTGACCATCATTAAGGTTTATGGAATTTAATTCCCTAATCAAACCTGCTTTAACCAGAAGTCTTTCTGTGACACATGATGATTTGTACACTTCTAGGCTTTTTTCCCAATCAATGGGATGATTAGTGCTCCTAACATGAACGAACAGTGCACTGCTTTCAGATGCTGTTCTGATATTGTACTTGTGCTGTTTGATTCTGAGTTGTAATGCTTTCCCAGTCTGTCCTACTGTACATAATTTCCATTACATTTGCTACATGGAATACAATAAACACTTCCATTTACATTCAAAGTTGGGCTATTCTTGATTAATATATTGGTAATGGACTAATGGTTGAGTCATAGTTAAAAACATTAATATTTAATAATTTGAGGGATTGAACTAACGGGACAAATTCATTGCGATAAGGCAGAGTCAGAATATTCTTAAGTGTAGGAATTTGCCTGATTTGAGTAGAATGAAAGGATTTTTTTTAGCCCTTTTAAAACAATGATCAACAAACTGAAGGGTACCCAAGTTTTTGTGCAATGGAATGAATGTGTTTCAATTCTTCATCAATAAATTCAGCGTCACAAATACGCAAACATCTCAAAAACATAGCAGAAAAAACTGACATTTGGTAGACTCCAGGTGACACAATAAAAAATGTATGAAACTGTATACCTGTGTAGGCTTTCTGTACACCTTAAATTTATAGTTATGGCCATTTCTAATGATAAGCATATCAAGAAATGGAAGGTATCCATTTATTTCTCTTTCAATTTTGAATGTAATACTTCGGACAAGATTATTAAGCTTGTCTAAAAATTCCAGTGGGTCACTGTTTCTAGGCCAACTTTGAATGTAAATGGAAGTGTTTATTGTATTCCATGTAGCAAATGTAATGGAAATTATGTAGGTCAGACTGGGAAAGCATTACAACACAGAATCAAACAGCACAAGTACAATATCAGAACAGCATCTGAAAGCAGTGCACTGTTCGTTCATGTTAGGAGCACTAATCATCCCATTGATTGGGAAAAAAGCCTAGAAGTGTACAAATCATCATGTGTCACAGAAAGACTTCTGGTTAAAGCAGGTTTGATTAGGGAATTAAATTCCATAAACCTTAATGATGGTCAGTACAAAACTGTTAATATGTTACATAAATTTATTTGTCAGTGCCCCAAGATTAAAAATGCTTTGAAAACCTTAGAGCTAGATGTAGGATAGATATTTAGTGGGTCCCATATTTTTTACCTGACTTAACTTGACTAGTCACGTCGCCCTTTCTCTTAAGCTCCTCTGCGTGTGTGTTGGTGTTGATGTGCGGATTAGTGGATGTCATGATTATGACCTGACCTCATGTTTAGTAAGGTCACCCTGTATATTTAAGCCTCCGTCCATGTAATCCAGTTGCCTCTGAAGATGTCTTGAATAAAGATTAAAGCTAAGGTGCTCCGTTGTTTCCCTTTTCCCCGTGTGATTCTATCAAGATTTATCTTATCCACGTTTTCATTGTGGATCTACATGAAACTATATATATATATATATATATATATATATATATATATATATATATATATATATATATATATATATATATATATATATATATATATATATATATATATATATATATATATATATATATATATATATATATATATATATATACCCCTTCTGTTTCATAACGTTTTATCATATCATGTGTGCCAAATGAACTTTCACTTAGGATTTTTCACATACTCTGGGTGAGTGTCCTCTCGAGCAGCTATTTTTAGTGCCCCACCCTGCCTGACTGCCTGTTTTAGCTCATAAAATTCATACAAATTACCCGGCCAGAATATAATTTACATTGCTGGAATTCTTATAATTTGGTGATCATTTTGAATATAAACATCATATTTTTGCATTAGACATACAAATTTTAGATACAAATTTTTCTCAAATTAACTATGTTATCTGTTGTGCAAAATATATGACATTTATATTCAAAATATTCCTGGTCTTACAAGGAATCCAGCAATGTCAATTATATTATCCTAACTTTAGTTTGAGGTATTATTTATTAAAATTTAGTGGTTATCCCACACATCTCCTTGGGACGGTTGGTGGGGGGTGGGGGGGAGGGAGGGACCGACCGACCATCTGTTACCCTGTGAAGAATTATTTTTTTTTTTATTAACTGAAGATATTTGTTTTAGCTCATAAAATTCATACAAATTATCCGGTCTGAATATAATTTACATTGCTGGAATTCTTATAATTTGATGATCATTTTGAATATAAACATCATATTTTTGCATTAGACATACAAATTTTAGATAAAAATTTTTCTCAAATTAACTATGTTATCTTTTGTGCAAAATATATGACATTTATATTCAAAATATTCCTGGTCTTACAAGGAATCCAGCAATGTCAATTATATTATCCTAACTTTAATCTGAGGTATTATTTAATACTAAATGTTAAAAACCCTGGAAGGGAGGATTGGTGGGGGGTGGGGGGGAGGGTTGGGACTGACCGCGCGGTTGGAAGAGGGGGGGAGGCAAGGTGGGGTACTTTGATTGACAGATAGTGTTGTGAAGATTATTTTTTTTTTTATTAACTGAAGATATTTGTTTTAGCTCATAAAATTCATACAAATTACCCGGTCTGAATATAATTTACATTGCTGGAATTCTTATAATTTGATGATCATTTTGAATATAAACATCATATTTTTGCATTAGACATACAAATTTTAGATAAAATTTTTCTCAAATTAACTATGTTATCTTTTGTGCAAAATATATGACATTTATATTCAAAATATTCCTGGTCTTACAAGGAATCCAGCAATGTCAATTGTATTATCCTAACTTTAGTTTGAGGTATTATTTATTAAAATTTAGTGGTTTTCCCCCAAAAATTTCTCTGAGAGGGGGAGGGAGTTGAGTCCATTATTTGAATGGACATTAACTTGGCGACTGTATTTCTCTATTTCTCTTAAGTTTTAATTGTGTGCATGTACCATCATAAAATTAAGATGTTATTTTTACTACAACATAGGTATGTGCCTTCAAAAAGTGGAGTTTGGGGGTCGGGCCGGTTTCTATTGGAATTAATCCCATATGTTCTGTTGTTCACTTAACGGGATTTCACTTAACACAGGACCCTCTGGGTTCAATTGACCGCGTTAAGTGGGGTACAACTGTATATATATATATATATATATATTATATATATATATATATATATATATATATATATATATATATATATATATATATATATATATATATATATATATATATATATATATATATATATATCTACATACACACACACATATATATATATACACCCCTCGCTTTACGCGGTCCCACTTTACGCGGTACCCTGCCGAACACGGAATGCTCACTTTCCGCGGTGTGTGTACCCTTTTACGCGGGAAGCGGCACGGGCAGGGTGCGCACAAGGTCGCCCAGTCATCAAAACATTACTGAGTTCTTCACCCGCCACCCACCACAGCCAGCTCAAGTCAGTGATAGTGAGGATATGGACTTATATGGACTTTGAGGGGTTTGACAAAGAGGCCCTGCAAGCCTCTGTGGTGGATAGTGATACAATTGACACAAGTGATACAGGTGAGGGCCAATAATCTGCCCTCTGCCTCGGAACCAACCCCCCATCCCCGTGTGCCCAGCCATCTTTTCTACTAATCTAAGTGTTAAAAAACCTAATATTATTGATATTTCTCTTAATTATTAATTATGTGTGTATACCATCATAAAATTAAGAAGTTATTTTTACTACAACGAAGGTATTGTGTCTGAAAAAGTGGAGTTTGGGGGTCGGCCCGGTCTCTATTTCAATTAATCCCATATGTTATGTTATTCACTTTACGCGTTTCTCACTTTACACGGGCCGCCGTGGGTTCAATTGACCACGTAAAGTGAGGGTTCACTATATATATATATACAGTAGTACCCCGCTTAACGCGGTCAATTGAACCCACAGGGTACCGTGTTAAGTGAACAACAGAACATATGGGATTAATTCCAATAGAGACTGGCCGGACCCCCAAACTCTACTTTTTCCGACACAATACCTATGTTCTAGTAAAAATAACATCTTAATTTTATGATGGTACATGCACACAATTAATACTTTAGAGAAATAGAGAATGATGGTACATGCACACAATTAATACTTAAGAAAAATAGAGAAATACAGTCGCCAAGTTAATGTCCATTCAAATAATGGACTCAACTCCCTCCCCCTCTTCTCACACTCCTGGCTCTTCCCTCTCTGAGAAATTTTTGGGGAAAACCACTAAATTTTAATAAATAATACCTCAAACTAAAGTTAGGATAATACAATTGACATTGCTGGATTCCTTGTAAGACCAGGAATATTTTGAATATAAATGTCATATATTTTGCACAAAAGATAACATATTTACTCAGAGTAAACATTATATCTAAAATTTGTGTGTCTAATGCAAAATCTATGATGTTTATATTCAAAATGATCATCAAATTGTAAGAATTCCAGCAATGTAAATTATATTCTGGCCGGGTAATTTGTATGAATTTTATGAGCTAAAACAAATATCTTCAGTTAATAAAAGAAATATATATTCTTCACACATAACAGATGGTCGGTCGGTCCCTCCCTACCAGATGTGTGGGAAAACCAGAATATTTACGTTTTAGTAATAAATAATACCTCAAACTAAAGTTAGGATAATATAATTGACATTGCTGGATTCCTTGTAAGACCAGGAATATTTTGAATACAAATGTCATATATTTTGCACAAAAGATAACATATTTATTCAGAGTAAACATTATATCTAAAATTTGGATGTCTAATGCAAAATCTATGATGTTTATATTCAAAATGATCATCATATTGTAAGAATTCCAGCAATGTAAATTATATTCTGGCCGGGTAATTTGTATGAATTTTATGAGCTAAAACAGGCAGGCAGGCAGGCAGGCGGGTGGGGCGAATCTAAAAATAGCATTTCGAGCCGGACACTCTGCGCGTATACGTGGAAAAAACCCGCGTTAAGTGAAAGTTCGCCTCTGGCGAGGCACCGCGCTAAGCGAAACCGCGTTAAGCGGGGTATTACTGTATATATATATATATATATATATATATATATATATATATATATATATATATATATATATATATATATATATATATATATATATATATACATACAGTGACCTCGAACACCTCGATTAACGAACTGCCTTCCATAAGGATCTTCAATTCGGTTAACGAAAAAAAATTCGGTTAACAAAGTTCTTACGAACCGACCTCAACATGTTTTCGCTTGCACTGACCGGGCAACCAGCTTTAGTATCAGTCCGCCAATACATTAATCGGTTCTAGGGCTTAAATTCCTTACTATTTTAGTAAATATCAAGAAGTTTATACTATTCAATAATTTTAAAAGTTTAATATTCAATTTTTTAGTCATTTTAACAATTATTGAACATAATTGAAGGTAAAGTGACTAGTTTAATGCGCGGCATCCAGCCTCTTAACACAGCAAACAGGAGTTAGTCTCTCTCTGTTTTCACTGGAGGTAACATCTTGCTTGAGACTCTCTTCAACTAAACACTTTTTTTCTGTGTTTCCAAGCAAATTATTGGTCATTTTGAAGTATATTTTACATATTGACAATATATAATGCAGTGCAGTGTTGATTTAAAGAAAATAATCTTGAATTACACCAAGAGAGCTAAAATTTTATGGGTGAAATGGCGCCATGGGGTGACTTCTTCCACCCCAATGCCTTCTCTTCTTCCTTCTCCTCCACCCCCATTCTAAATCCCATCATCATCATCATCATCATCATCCAGGAGCCTTCTACATACACACCTCAAAGTAAGTGTACTTTTCTACCATTTTTGTTGAATTTAGGAAATTTTCGGTGAGCTGGAACCAATTACCCAAAAACCGATTGAAACAATGGTTTCGGTTAACGAACGACCTTCTGGAACGGATTGAGTTCGTTAACGGAGGGGTCACTGTATATATATTTCATTTTTAGTCCATATAACACGCGGACTTTGAACATACAGTCGACCCTCGTTAAAACGGACTAATAGGGGGGGTAAGGGTGTCCGTTTTAGCCGATTGTCCGAATTAACCGATTTAGGGGTTAATATTGCATTATACAGCTATGTGTATGTTTATTTGAGTGCCCCGTCATAGGAGTCCGTTTTCTCTTAATCTTAGAGTGCACCAGACTGTTATTTCTTAGTATTGACACAGAATTTGATATTGCAACTGGGGTTGCAATTGTTGAGGCAACTTAGGTATGTCTGATTACAGTTGGAATATTCTAGATCCATTGTGAGTGATGTTTAAAGCTTCAACTGTCTTTATGGTTGGTAAAACTTGTCAAGTCTGTCAGTGTGAGTGGCATGTGTTTGTACAACCGCTAAATATATAAATATATAATGTTATGGTAATTATCAGAAACACACATAGGCATGACCAGGTTTATTACAAAGTGATGAAAAGGATACTGTACAGTGGGAGTCCACAAAACATGTAGCCATGTCTCTTTATTTGAGTGCCCCGTCATAGGAGACCGTTTTCTCTCACTTCAGGACGCCTGAGTCGTCGGTTTTCTCTTAATCTTAGAGTGCACCAAAGACTTTGTTATTTCTTAGTAGTGACACAGAATTTGAAATTGCAACCCCAATTGCAACTGGGACAATCCCAGAACCAGAAATTTGATACAGACAGTTCAGATTTCGTCCAGTTTATCCGAAATCCGGATTAAAGGGGTCCGAATTAACGAGGGTCGACTGTATAATCAACGACCTCACCAGCCAGGACTCGAACCCTCGACCTAATGCATGGGACCAGGGAACGTTACCGACCATACCACAAGAGCACTAAAAGCAGTTCTAGACTGTGATATTTCACACAAAGCCTGTTCATCGAGCTGATGGCGCCGTGAACCTCTCATTGGGAACTGCCCGTGCTGCTTATGTGGATGTCAGTAGCATTTTACCGAATTCAACTGGTATGAAACACGAGGTACCATGTATACTTCATTTTTAGTTCATATAACATGCGGAATATCACACAGTCTAGAACTGCTTTTAGTGCTCTTGTGGTATGGTCGGTAACGTTCCCTGGTCCCGTGCATTAGGTCGAGGGTTCGAGTCCTGGCTGGTGAGGTCGTTGATAATATATATATATATATATATATATATATATATATATATATATATATATATATATATATATATATATATATATATATATATATATATATATATATATATATATATATACATACATACATACATTTATTTATTTATTTATTTATTTATTTTTCAGGTTTGAGCAAAGGAAAACTGTATGAGCTTGAGATAAAAAGGAAATAATGTATCATTCAATTGCCTCGAAGTGAATTTTGCCCAGTCTCATTCAAGATCTTCAGTTTTTTACAATATTTATAAAGAATTACAACCTTCGTACGTGAATCAGCACACAAAATCAAACTTCTTTTGTAATCTCAGCCCAAGTTTAAACTGATGGTAAGTACAAATACATTCCTCAGAGAAACAGTAACATGTTCAGTAGTGCAGCATTACTGGATTTCAACGACTTTATTACCAGTATCATAATAGTATTTCTACCACAAATCTAACAAATATCTAAATTGCCTTCTGTTTTATATCAATTCCACAAATCAAGGAATCTTGTCCGTGAAAATTCCAGTACAGTACAGTAAGTCATTTGAAAATAAACCTGATAAATCCACATTGTGCAGAGGTTGTTGCTCTTATATGATGACTATATTTTTTCTTGTCACTATTCCAACCAAATGTTCATAGGTTATCTTCTTTTTTAAGAGGAACTTTTTGTATTAAATGTAATCTCATTTGGTAACACTGTACAGCAGAATTTGTGAACATTTAATTGTATTTACATTGAAAAATTATGATAATTTGGATAAATATTTGGTGTATTTTTATCCTTTATATACTGTATAATTACCATAGTTAAGGGGGTCCTCATTATCTAAGGCTAATAGGAACTGAACAATTGTCTATTAAAGTGAATCCACTTAAAGCGAGGAGTTTTTGAGGATAAGAAATAATGGGAATAGGGTTTGATCGGGACCATAAGATAATAAATGGCACTCAAAAGGATTACTGTTATACCTTCTAGCATTTACACCTTAAAACATGTGTTACTGTTTTAAACCCATCTGTAATGTTTATTCCTGCCTTCAAAAGTAGAGGCACTGCATTTGATTGCACAGATGTGCAGGTGGATGATGGAGAGGCAGGACGAGTAGCGATATTGCCTATTGCCAATTCATCTCCTTGAAGTGGTAGCTCAACACCAGAAGGACCTGGATGAATTTCAGATTCTTCCATGAACGGTCTACATCACACGGAGAACAAATCTTAAGTACAGTAGTTTGTTATCCAGCATGCACTTTTTCTTGTAAAATTGTATGATAGAATGCTGACGCATCACTACCTAATTTTCTCTTCAACCTTGGCAGCACAATTGTGGGGAGGGTCGTTCTTCTTGACAGAGCGGGCCCTAGGTATAGGCCATATAGGCAAATGCTCAGGGCCAAACAACGCAAAGGAATAAAAATAGAAATTGAGCTTGAATCTACAGGAAAATGTTGGTTGAGACCGGGCAACACTGGTTCAGACAGTCTGTCACACCTTGCTTTGTGTGCGTCACTCATCAATGTAATGTATTTTCTTTTGATGATAATTTAGAGGTTATTGGGTAATGTTAACTTTCTTGACTGTAATAGATAGAAAATTTAACCATCAGGAAAGGGGTTAAGTAGTGATATACAGAAAAATAATCGTGGGCTAATGTAATATGGATGGTGAAATAAGGTAGGTGGTAGGAAGAGTGCACTGCCAAGGTGCCATTAACAAACCTCATTAATTTTGTTTGTGTTTCTCTTTTAGGATACAGTATAAACCTGAATAGAAAATTTACAATTGGCACTCGTGTCAAGTGCATCAAAAAGACACAAAACTTTCTGGTGCCCAGAGGAGAAAAAAAAAATGTTTGGAAGAGGAAAAATGGGTCAAAGACAGAGGTAGGCATGAGATGCGTGTACAGTATTTTGATATTCATTTACTGTTAGTTGGGTAGCTATTTTCCTTTAAAATTAGATGTGATTTTTTATTATTGTGATACAGGCTATATGCCATGGCATAGGCTAATATTGCTGGGTTTAACTGTCAATTGTCAACTGCGTTGTTATCATGTAATGCATAATGGTCCCACAGCCCTATTGTTTGTTGCTTCAGATGCACTTATGAAATATTTTGGACCTCCTCCCCTGGAAATCTTGAGCCACCTTCAGACACCCTCTCCACTTCTGCACAGCCCAGTGACAGTGTCAAGCTCCCTTGTCACTTATACTTCTACACAGCCCAATGACAGTGTCAAGCTCCCCTGTCACTTATACTTCTATACAGCCCAGTGACAGTGTCAAGCTCCCCTGTCCCTTATACTTCTACACAGCCCAGTGACAGTGTCAAGCTCCCTTGTCACTTATACTTCTACACAGCCCAATGACAGTGTCAAGCTCCCCTGTCACTTATACTTCTACACAGCCCAATGACAGTGTCAAGCTCCCCTGTCACTTATACTTCACAGCCCAATGACAGTGTCAAGCTCCCCTGTCACTTATACTTCTATACAGCCCAGTGACAGTGTCAAGCTCCCTGTCCCTTATGCTTCTACGGCCCAGTGATGATGTCAGAAGCCACCATCGTATGCTTCTGCACATGTGTCAGTGTCAAGCTCCCCTGTCCCTTATACTTCTACACAGCAGTGATAGTGTCAAGCTTCCCTGTCCCGTGTCTTCTACAGCCAGTGACAGTGTCAAGCTCCCTGTCCTTATACTTCTACACAGCCCAATGACAGTGTCAAGCTCCCCTGTCCTTATCGTCTACACAGCCCAGTGATAGTGTCAAGCTCTGTCCCTTATACTTCTACACAGCCCAGTGACGATGTCAAGCTCCTTGTCATATACTTCTACAGCCCAGTGACGAGTGTCAAACTCATGTCCTTATACTTCTGCACAGCCCAGTAACAGTGCTCAAGCTCCTCTCCTTATACTTCTACTGGCCCAGTGACAGTGTCAAGCTCATATCACTTATGCTTCTACAGCCCAGTGACAGTGTCAGCTCCTTGTCATATGCTTCTACACACAGCCCAGTGACAGTGTCAAACTCCTTGCCACTTATACTTCTACTGTGATGACAGTCAAGCTCCCCTGTCCCTTATGCTTCTACACAGCCCAGTGACAGTGTCAAGGTCCCTTGTCATATGCTTCTGCTGGCCAGTGACAGTGTCAAGGTCCCTTGTCCACTTATGCTTCTACTGTGTGACAGTGTCGGCTCTGTCCGCCCACTCACTTCTACTGGCAAGTGACAGTGTCAAGCTCCCTGTCCTTATGCTTCTACACAGCCCAGTGGCGGTGTCAAGCTCCCCTGTCCTTATCGCTACTGGCTAGTGACAGTGTCAGCTCCCTGTCACTTATACTTCTACTGTTGATGACAGTGTCAAAACTCCCCTGTCCCTTGTCTTCTCGCGGCCCAATGACGTGTCAGCTCCTGTCATATGTCTTCTGCACAGCCCAGTGACAGTGTCAAGCTCCCTTGTCTTTTCTGCACAGCCCAGTGACAGTGTCAAGCTCCTTTGTCTTTTCTATACAGCCCAGTGACAGTGTCAAGCTCCCTTGTCTTTTCTGCACAGCCCACTGTCAGTATCAAGTTCCCCTGCCCCTTCTACTTCTACACAGCCCAGTGACACAATGTCAAGCTCTCCTGTCCCTTCCACAGTCTGGTGATACATCAGATGAGTACAGCATGGCTGCACCTATAGACCCCACGGACTGGCCATCTCTCCTGTCTAATAAGGCAAAAACAGAGCTTGTTTAAAGAGGACCACATCAGATTAAGCAAAGTTTCACTTTTCAAAAACAAAAAGAATGGAGAAGATGTCATCACGAGTATTTTAAATCTTAGTCAATGGAGAAAAAATCAAAAGAAGCTGGCTAATATATTCAAAGAATAATGAGTCTTTTCTGCTTCTGTTGTAAAATGTTTTCTCAGAATGATTTCAAATTGAATAAAGAAGGATTCAGGGATTGGAAAAATGCCAGCCACTAGCTCAAGATACATGAAAATAGCTCGGAACACTACACACGTGGCAACATGTTAGGAACTGGAGGTTCACCTTGCAAACGGAAAAACATTAGATCAACAAGAGATGGCACTTGCTGAGGTCGAGAGGAGCAGGTGGCACCAAGTTCTCAATAGATTGGTGGCAATAATTCAGTGTTCAGCTGAGAGAAATATAGCTTTAAGGGGGTCCATAAAACACTTGACAAACCACACAATGGCAATTTTCTCTTAAGAAGTGGAGCTTTTGGCCAAATTTTATTTAATTTTGAAGCTGCATGTTAGTAAGGTGGAAAGTGGAGGAGGCAATCACATTCATTATCTTGGCAAAAGAATTCAAAGTGAGCAAGTAAATGCCACCAGTGGAAAGATATTAGGAAAAATGGTAGAAATCAAAGCATGAAAGTATTTCTTTCATCATTTTAGATTGCACACCTGATCTGAGTCACAAGGAACAGCTCTGTCATACTTAGGATTGTGTCACTGGAAGTCACACCACAAATAAAGGAACATTTCATGGGATTCCTTGTGGCACAGCAGTCAACTGGGGCAATTTGTCATCCCTCATTCTTTGAGAATTGCAGAGGGCAGTCGTATGACCATGGTGCCTACATGAGGGGCAAGAATAAAGGTGTTCAAGCCAGGCTGCTTCAGCAGAATTCAAGGGCCTTATTTGTTCCATGTGGGGCTCATACTTTAAATCTACTGGTTGCTGATGCTGCTAAGAGCTCTCCAGATGCCATTGGCTACTTTGGATATTTAATGAAACTCTTCACACTGTTTTCAGGCTCCACCCAAAGATGGGCTATCCTTTTAAAACGTCAAAAACTACCCTGAAATCATGGTCAGAAACCAGGTGGGAGAGCAAGGTAAAAAAACATAGAGGCAGCAAGATACCAGGCTGTGCAAGTCAGACAAGCACTTTTGGAGGTGAGGGAAACTACTGCAGATCCTGTCATTAAGATTGAAGCCCATTCTTTGGCAGAGGAGGTTGGATCCTACTGTTTTTCAATTTGCTTGGTAGTGTGGTATGACATCCTCAACAACATTCAGCTTGTGAGCAAGACAATGCAATCAATCTCCATGCAACTAGATGTGGCTGTGGACCTTCTGATGAAAACAAGAGATTCCCTTACCAGATACAGACACTGGCTTTACTGGTGTACAGACTACTGCTAAGAAGGTATGTGGAGACAGTACTAAAACAAAAAAAAGGTTAAGATCAACAAAAAGGTACTTTAGTTATGAGTCTGTACATTAACCTATCAGTGATGCACTCGAGAAAATGGAGATCACCTTTTTTTAATGTAGTGGATGCAGCAATTTCTTCCCTTGATGAAAGGTTCCAGACCTTGGGAGAGGTGAATGCCAAGTTTAAGGTGCTACACAACTTTGTCAACATGTCCAAAGAGGACCTCATGCAGCAGTGTGAAACACTGAGCAGCACTCTTACCTCCGAAGGGCAGTCAGATATTGATGGCAGGGAATTGGCTGTGGAACTGCAAAATTTTCCACATTTACCATGAAATAATATGACAACCATGGAACTACTGACTTTCTTGCATGAGAAGAAACTGATGGAAATATATCCCCCCCAACATGTGGATGGGTCTGAGGATCTCTGCCACTCCCCCTACAACAGTGGCTGCTTCAGAGAGGAGCTTCTCTAAACTTAAGTTTATAAAAGGTCTAATATGATGCAAGAATGTCTCTGTGGACTGACCATTATCAGTGTGAATCATGAGCTTTCCAGACAATTATCATGTGATGATATAACAGATGACTTTGCTGCAAAAAACTCAAGACGAGTCAGGCTGTATAGAAAGTATGCATTTCAGTTAACGGAAACTGTACCGTTGGAGACCACTATGATTCGTCACCATTTTTAAGACTTTTTCTTTAATATTTCTCTAAGCATGTCAATAAATATGTTTTGCTTATTTGATGAATATTCAGTGCAATGGCCACTATCTTCCTGTGGGGACTGAATTAGGCTGCATTCACACCAAAAGAGTCAAGTCTAGTCATCCGAGTCATTTGACTCGTTTCCATTCACACAGAAATAGTCAAGAGACTCAAGAAGTCACGTTTGTCAGTATCCTGTCAGATGTCAAGCGGTATGGACACACATTCTCTCGCAGCCTTACATACTCTGTTGTAGATTCGGTGACGTAGGAAAAACAGGAACCGAGTATGGGTGCATGAACTCAATACTAAAAGACCAAATTTTGGTGCTTTTAGTCATTTGTTTCCAGACTTGCTAAATCGCCCAGACAAATTCTACCGTTTCTTCAGAATGACAATGGAAAACTTCAAGAAGCTGGTTAATAAGACAGGAATATCTGTAAAGAAAATGGACACAAACTACAGAAGTGCCATTTGAGTTGAAGAAAGAATAGCCATACTTTTAAGGTAAGGTTTGTATTTGACTTGAAACATAATATTGACAGGTAAAGTAATATTTGAAGGATAATATTGACAAATTATAATGAAACGTTATATTGAGAAATAAAAAAAATCTTATAGGTAACCGAGAGATGCACCACAACGAACTCGCGATGACTGATGAAAAAATGGGTCTGGCCATTTTCATGAATCGACTCGACTCCCTGGTGTGAACGGTTTCTGCAAAATTACAAACAAAATAATTTCCCCTTGAATGGCAAGTCACATAAGAGTCGAGACTTTATGTGACTCGACTCGACTCGTTTGGTGTGAACTCAGCCTTAGGATTCTTTTATTTACTTTATAAGTACAGATATGAGTGTGTAATTATATGCTCAGGATAATGGGTGGATAGGCATTAGTGTGTGTGTGTGTTGCTAAAGGTTGGAGTGGATTAGTCAGACCTAGCATATGTCTGGGGGGGAGGGGGCTAAAATCTTGCCTAGGAGGGGGCTAAAATCTTGCCTAGGGCACCAACTTTGCCAGGGCTGGCACTGCTTAATATATATAACGTCATCCATTTTCCCGAAGGCTTCTCATAAACTTTTAATTGTGAAGTCTTGTACAGTTTCTTAGGACATGGCAGTAATAAAGTATCATCGGCATTATCGCGTGATTCTTCATAAGTTTGCTGGTATGACTTGGCCAATTCCTCATTTATTAATGGCAAAACATGAGATTGCAGCAACACCAAAACCTACAAATTAGTGAACCGTATCAGGATATAAATTTTTCAGCAACTATTCATCAGTCAAGTAATCTCTGTCCAAATTTGGCCAATTATTTTAGCAACAAAAAAAAAAAAACACCACACACACACACACACACACAGTGACATCATTATCTTCATCGGTTTCAGCAATAAATTTTTTGAAGGTATGGTGTAAATAATACACCATCACTGACGTGGTCTTCGGTGACATAAATATGATTTTCACATTGTGAGACAAACTTACAAAGTTAGCACATGAGCACTGGCATTATAAACGTATAATTTATGTAAAATAAACAGAAACTTTGAGCGAGGAATATTCTCATTTGGGAGCTGGAGTGGCAGGCATCCACTACAATTTGTATTATCCTCTCACTTAAGTATAGATTTAACCCTTAGGCACCGGGTGACATTCCAGAACGTCCGCCTAATCCCGCCACTTTTTTTTTTAACTCGATTTTCTCAATTTATCCCCACCGGGGGGAGGGGGGGTGGGGCAGGACCCTAATCTAGGGCTTAAGGGTTAACCATTGTATTGCAATTACCTATATAAAACTATTTGTAGATAATGAATTAGTGCAACAAACCTGACCTTTTTATCTCCAATAGTAAGATTGCTATGATGACTCAATATGTACAATTATCTTATGCACTAGAAATGTACTAAGACATCTGTGGCTGTCACCTTCATAGACTTCACTTAAACATTTAACGTGGTCAGTTGCAGCATATCATAGCTAACAGACTTCCTTAGAAATCAACACCAAGCTATAAACTTCCAAAGAGCTTTTTCCACCTTTCAGTGACTCATCTGTAGTGTCCCCCAAGGTACTAAGATAGAACTACTCTGCTTCCTTATCCTCATCAATGATGCCCTGAAAGATACTCCCACTCACTGGAAATAAGTTGACAAATCCACCTTTGGCATCAGTGTGAACAACTCAGTTCCCAACTAAAGCACAATCAGAATATACTGAACAGTCTTCAAGACTGGTCCACCACCAACTATCAAGACCATGGTACTACACATTAACTCCTCCTCAGACCATGTTCCACCTCAATCCATCACACTGGACTTCAAAACAGTCCAGGCTGTGGATTCCACCAAACTCCTTGGCATGCTTCTCCTGCCTCGTGTTCTTCCTTAACTGCTATATGAGAACTCCTTGAGAAGGTGAAATATTGGGCATCAATGACTATTCTCTCCTCCTCTTACACCAACTATCTAGAGGTACAGGTACACCACCTATTTTCCGGAGACTGATGGTCCGGCACCTCCTTTAGTCCGGAAAAAATTACGAGAGGGCACTTAACTTCCCTCCCTCCCAACCAGGTTGAAGGCAGTTTTAGGCTTAAAGTTTGTATCTTACAAAATGTAGCTGACTAGACTTAGCAGAATATAACTTGCATTGCTGGAATCCTTGTAAGATAGTGATTAATTTGAGTATAAACATCGCATAGTTTGCACAAGAGATAAAAATTTTAGTCTAGTGTAGTGTACAGTGGGGTATGCTATAACGAACGTAATTGGTTCCAGAATCTCGTTCGTTATAGCATTCGTTCGTTATAGGATTAATCAGTTCCAGGCCCCCAAATACAACCGCTTAACACTGAAAAAATTCTGTGGAAAATGTAAAAAATACGGTACTTTATCTTACCTTAGTGTTATTCAGCATGCAGGCACCCCTAAACACTGGCACATCACTATCACTTCCACTGGGAGTCTTGGCTTTAAGGTCCTCAAACAATTGTTTAGCCTTCTCACAAATTATAGCTTCACTAATGTTACCACCTGCCATTTCTTTCTCCTTTATCCACACTAAGAGTAAATTTTCCATCTCTTCAATCACATTACACCTTGCTTTGCTAAGTCTAAAGATTCCCTTAGCCACTTGCACAGTTTTTAACTCCTCTTTATTCTTCAAAATCGTACATATAGTCGATTTAGCCATCCCATATTCATCACTAAGTTTCGCAATGCTTCTTCCATTCTCACGTTTCTTTATAATTTCTTTCTTAGTTTCAAGGGTTATTAGCTTTCTCACTCGCTTTGGACGACTCATTGTTACAATTGTATACTTGTATAACAAAATAGTTATACAAATAACGCGAATTTCCACATCAAAAGACGAAATTTCAACAATAACAGTGGTGCACTGGCTACACAATGAGACAAAGATGGCGCCTGACGCTCTTGTTGTGGGTCGCGGTACAACAATATTCATGCGCCAGGCGAAATAGTCCGGTATTCATCCGCGTTTGTTGTAGGAGTTGCGTTCGTTATAGCATTCTCAATTTTATAGGTAAAACCGTTCGTTTTAGGAATATTCGAAGTAGGATCCGTTCGTTATAGCATACCCCACTGTACTTATGAGTACAAAGTGTGTACAGTAATGTTGCTCAAAATTATGGCTTTTTCATATTTAATTTACATTTAATATTTGTTTAAGTTTCTAGCAGTCCATGGTGCTTTAGAGACACAGGAGGTGTATAATTAGTGGGTCAGAGGTGTATTATTGAATATTATTACCTGACCTCGGTTGGTCCGGCAAAACGGATAATCCGGCAAGGCTTTGGGACCAAGGGTGCCGGAAAATCGGTGGTGCACCTGTACGCACTGTACTAAATATACTGATCCTTTCAACTCCCTCTGATCCTGATCGTCACCATAACCTCATCTGTCAGTTTGGGATAGCTACACCATCTTTACCACCATTTTATGCTGCCACCTCAGATCTCGTATCTGTGACTTACTGTTCAACACTACGACCGCACCCCCAGTCTATACAACAAGTACGTACCGTACAGCACTAGTTGCTTTAATAACAACCCCATTCCAACCACTGTATAAATCATCAACAATTCATAGATAACTTGTGTGTTAACTCCTTGCCAAGTTCATTTCTGTACTGTAACTATACTGAAATTATTTATTACATGATCCACCCCTGCATGATTACCTATGTCCACTTACATCAGTTGTATATGTTCAGTTTATAGCAGCTGTATCTGTCTGTAAACTACTAATTATTATTAATTACCACTACTAGTAATTATCACAGTTTGTTTTTATGCCAAAACATGTGCCAGTAAATATGGTTTCTAAAACTGATCATTTCAGCTATTCATGGCATAAGTTGGTTTTATTATTAACACAATAATCGAGGCTTTAACAGTAATACATATCAGAAACATGGGATTTAACCTGTAGTTGTTACTATCCAATATTTTAATATGCAAGACAACTTTCAAAATAAATATACATGGACTGTAGAGACTTTTTACTGAAATAAATGTCATACATATAAAGTCATTTATCCAATAAGCAATAAAGGTTATCAAAACCATTTTGTGTACATAGAATCTAATAACAAAATTTACAGGTTACATTTTAACATGATACATCTGTCACATCACTATTGATATACACACCATGCTAAAACTGATAGTGCCTCATATACTTACAATCATCTCTCTATCAAATAACCATACTGTACTTCATTTCCAACAACATGGAATAAGCTAGTATTATTGACTGACAAACAAATTTCAATAACAGTACATATCATAAAATACTGTGATCACACGGGTTCACATGTTATTATATACACATTAACAGCTAAATTAAAAAATATCACCTCATGCTATGCTTTTGCTGAGACTTCTTCTGACTGTCCAACCTCAGGAGAAGCTTCACTTGGTATTTCAACTTTTGCCATATCCTCTTTTTCTTCCTTATTACCATACACATTAGGGTATTGGGCCATACACTCCGACATTTGTCGAAAAGGTTCTAAACATTCACTTCCTTTGGGATCTTGAGTAGAGTAGTGGAAACAAGAAAATGCTTCCCGAAATTCAACACCACAAGGACCTGTTGCCATACCTCCTAAGCATGGACAAGCCCAGTTGATTTCACCATCTGGTTGTATTAGTCCTGCTGTTGGAGGTCAACAAAGTGTCAGATAAAACTTTACCATACAAGAAAAAGACGAAGGAAAAACAATAAAGAAGGGGAGGGGAATGGTAGGATGAATGAAAACAAGATTAAACTTATCAGTACCAATCATAATCTTAGTAAAACCCCAAATTAATGTCATTTGAATCAACAACTCCAACATTTAACTGCCACAGTACAGTGTCAAAATTTTTAGTTTTATTCTAGAATACATTTACTGTACTTTACAGGTACAGAACAGTAGTCCCTCGACAACTGCAGGGGTTAGGTTCCTGTACAACACTGCTTACAATGCAGTAATTCATGTACAATTTTGAATATTTGCAGCCCAAGCTATAAGTTATGTTCTTTAAGACCCCCAAGGATTGTAAATAGTACCTCAAACTGCAAATCAAATGAACCTACAGTATATTGGTTCATATATTAAATTCTGGTTCTACTTGAGCAGTGCTTCAGACATTCCTATGTATAAAACTGATGTAAATTTTTTAATTTGAGAGAATAAGATTGCTGTACAGTACAGTAAATTAAATCTTGCCCTAACATTGAAAAGCTGTGTTTCAAAAGGCAAAATCATGCAAGAACAACCCAGATACACCAATAATCTGAAGCAATGCTGATCTCCTTAGGTGTTATCTACAGTAAAACTACAGTAAATCATACCTGGTGGTTCATCATCATCAGGTAGTGAGACTGCTGCAGGTCCTTTGTGGTCCTCCTCTGTCACAAACACCACACGATCCTTTCCTAATAATGGAAGGATAACTTTACAAATGGAATTTACATAAAAATGTACTGTATGTAAATTATGTAGGAAGTGGCTACAGGACCTGGTAAACTATTCACTTTACGGTATGGTATTAAACTGTAGTTCAAAGGCTCAGATGAGTTCGTAAGACAGAATGTAAACCTTGTGGAGTGTTCTGTAATGAAAAACAGATGGTATAATATGAAGTACAAGACACTGTTAAATATAACAAAATGAGATTCCTCTTCATCCTCATTGAATGATTTTTATCTACAGCAAGTTACTATATTTATGAAATGGACATAGGAAGAATGAGTGAAAATATGTTGTAAAGGCAAATAACAATGCAAGTAGTACCTGTATAATACCTGAAGTCTTCAGTAACTTTAAAGGAAACTACAGGTATCCCTCGCTTTACAAACTCAAGATACAAAAATTTGTTTTTACAAATTTCCTTATTTAACAAAGCTAAACTTGTTTATACAAACTTTGGTCTGAGCAAAAATTCAAATTGCACTCCCCCAGAAGTCAGCTGGGGCAGCCATCGTGGAGAGATGCGCAAACATATCCTCGCTTACTGATCATAGCACACACCCCTCTCCTCCCGCATCTCCCCCCAGTCCTTCATTCCGCCATTCTACCTCTTATGGTGCGCCCTGACTGCCTTTCCTGAAGGTAATCGCTCTCTGCCATTCAGTTCATTTGTTTGAATTCACAACTGAGGGTGCTGGTGTGCTTATTTAAGTGTTAAACTTAACATCGCCGATGACACTGTTGCCAAGTTATACCCACCACTGTAGCCACATCCCCCTTGCCCTCTTGCTGCCAGGCCGAGCTGTGAGCAATGTTAGGGGTACTATTCAACTGGTAATTTTGAGTAGATAAATTTTATTTTTTCACTTTTTTTTTTTTTTTTACTTCTTTACATGCACACACAACCTTTCATACATAGTGTGTACTAAAAAAAAGTAAAAGAAATAACTATGTATCATAAGATCAAAAACATAAAGGGAAAAAACATTTCTTTCTGTACGAGACTTGGCTCTCTGAGCGGGGAGAGGTCGCGGAGTGTGGGAGCCCCATTGCTAAGGGTCAGCAGAGGAAGTGTTCCAGCTGGGCTATGTTTCTATGGAGAGCTTTAAGGCCACACAGTCAGCGTCTTATGCCAATGGCGGTTGTTAAACTTAAATTTAGCTTTGCCTTAATGGTTTTAGTTGCATAATTTCATGTAGATAATATACAAATGTTGCTTGAAGTAGCACAACTATTAAATACAGCAGTGTAAAGGTACAGGTATACAGTGTACATAAGAAATACTGTACAGTAACAATAATTTCCTATATCCGGCTCGGTGCTGGTCCCTTAGTTGCTAGATATACTGTAGGAGCTTCAACCTGTATTGTATTTCATTAATGTTTTAAATGTTTTAGGTAATAAATTACAGTACAGTAGTTGGGTACTATTTTTCATTTTTACATATGTTTATTTCTTTCTTGAACCAATTTCATGTTTCTAAGGTATAATATTGGGGTTTCCTTATCATTGGGAACCAAACCCCATTTTCCTATTTGTTCTGTTATTCGAGATACCAAAATTCACTCAACGAATGGTTTTCCAAGAACCTAACCCATTTGTTAAGCAGGGGGGTATTTGAATACTTAACCTAACCTTCACTTCTAATTATTTTTTCTAAAATAAACAACTGAGGTAGAATCAGACCAGAAACCTACAGTACTTAGTAAAAAATATACTAAAAACATAAAAATGATAACAGTGAGGATTAGAATTAGTCAACTGCTGTACAGTATTAGCTGTAAGCAGTTACACTGAATATAAGAATGGAGGAAACTGCAGCAGGCCCATTGGCCCATACTGGACAGTCCCGTTTACACCCAACCCCTATTGCTCATATAAGCATCCAACCTATGTTTGAAGCTATCCAGCGTATTTGAGTTAATGATGATATTTGGTAACTTGTTCCACTCATCCACTACTCTATTTATCTTCTACTGCACTGTACTTTGTATACATGGAAATTTTCTCAACTGAGTGCTAAGGCATGCCATGACCATCAAGTACTACCAATGAACATGCCTAACTAAACCAAACCTACCAAACCTACCTAGGAAGCTGGTAAGATTTTAGAAGCTTTCCTATGGATGAAGTGATACACTTGGCATGTAAACAACAAATATGGCATTATAAACATCAAAGTAGATTAGTGCTTAGGACAAAAAATAAGACTGTAATAATATACAGTCCTGTATAAATGTCAATTCCCTACCATTTTATGGAATTTCCATGAGGTAAGCGAGTATTTATTGGTATATATGGTATTTTTGCATTTACACACCATTCATTCCTACCATTAATCTATTATCATATTCTAATAAGACGTCTAATTATAAGATAATTTTCATTTCTTACATTACCAGCGGAAATGTATAATAACGGAGAACGCGTATCCAAAATTTTCTCTATTTTCTTCCATTAATCTTCCGCCATTATCGCCTGCCTCACCTCCAACACTGCGTGTCTCCTGCGTCTCCTTCATAAATCATCATGCACATGCATTCCCGTACACGTCACGAGGCCAATCAAAAGCATTTTTGTTTTTGCAACCAATTAAAATGATTTTGGGTTTAATTCGCGGTATCTTTGGCCCAATCAAATTCGAGTTTTATTTTGGGTCTCATATTTCGAAATTCAAGTTCAGTTCCGACCATGGAAGTCTGTGATGGGTGTCACTTCAATTATATGGAGCGGATTGCGAGTTTTGGGGAAAAAACAAATAAACTACAGTATAGCATTTTTTCGATCACATGGTGTTCTTCCAACCTTAGTAAAGTGTACTAAGAGCAAGACTGAATGTAAATATCGCAAAGACCAACATATGTGACGTTGTGCAAGAATCTCAGAATCCAACGACGAACAAGAACCAGGCCAATAAGGTAAGAAATAGGTGATTCCATCATATGGTGAGAGTCAGTTAGGTTAGAACATAAGAAAATAAGGAGTCTGCAATAGGCCGGTTGGCCTGTGAATGGCAGCTCTTGTCGAGAGTTACTACCACTCTCTATCATCCATGAATCTATCTAGCCTCCTTTTGAACTTTCCAGAGTTCCCGCACTTACTACAAAGTTGCTAAGCTTGTTCCACTCGTCCACCACCCTATTTGTGAACCAGTTTCTTCCTATCTCCCTCCTAAACCTAAACTTATCCAACTTGAATCCGTTGCTCCGAGTCCTATCCTGCTCGGATATTATAAGAACTTTATCTATATCCCCTTTATTGAATCCTTTCACCCATTTAAATACTTCTATCATATCTCCCCGCACTCTTCGTCTTTCTAGGGAATGCAAGTTAAGTTTCTTTAACCTATCCTGATATGGAAGGTTTCTAAGTCCTGGAATCATTTTTGTCATTCTTCGCTGCACCGATTCTAGTGAATTTATATCCATTCTATAATAGGGGCACCAGAACTGAACCGCATAATCGAGGTGCAGCCTGAATAGCGCAAGATATAGTTGCAATAAGACCTCTGCACTCTTGTTACTTACACTTCTAGATATAAAACCCAATACTCTGTTTGCCTTATTTCGAACATTAACGCACTGTTTTCTAGGCCGTAGGTCCGGGCTTACAAGTACCCCTAGGTCTCTTTCACAAGTCGACTTCTCTAGGTTGATGTTGTTAAGGCTGTATACATTATCAGTATTTGTTCTTCCAATATTAAGTACACTGCACTTGCTGGTGTTGAATTTCATTTGCCATTTTTCAGACCACCCCTGCAGCTTATTTAGATCCTCCTGTAATGCATGGTTTTTGTTTTTCTAGTGTTTTTTTGGTGTATTTTGCCATGATTTTTTTTTTCGGAAAACGTCCAACGAAAAAAAAAATTGATAAAAAACCAGGCTAATTTCCGCCAGAAATGAAGGTCATATTCGGTCTAAACACACACAAATACACCAGAAAAATATATTTTTGACTTTCTAACAGTGCGGTGTGAGTGCAAATTTTCCGTAAATATATAGAAAACACCAACTCCTCAACCCAGCAACAAGACATTCTAAAAGTGTTAATTTATACCGGTCCGACTAATTACCCAAATGTAGTCGCAATGAAGTCAAATGATGGTCCTACAAGCGTAAATCAGGCTGTGAATCACTTCTCGATTATTATTTGGTGTCATAGTCACAAAAAATTGGTAAACTTAAGTTTACCAATTTTTTGGGACTTCGTGACACCAAATACTAGTCGAGAAGTGATTGGCAGTCCGATTTATTCATGTAGGACCATTATTTGACTTCATTGCGGCTACATTTGGGTAATTAGTCGGACCTAATTTATACTATGCACTGATAATAACACTCTTGTGCAAATGCTCCATTTTTTAGTTAAGGCCAATTTCTCCTCCAATATCATTACCCCATAATGTGAGCAGTGCTTTGAAGAGGGAAAATATGTAGAGATAAAGCATGAAAAAATTGCATTTTACCTTAAACTATCAATTTGGTGGATTAAATTGTTTCTCTTGATGTTCTCTGTAACTGGTGGCATTTCAGTACCTCAAGTGCCATAGTTAGAATGCCTGCATTGGCTAAGTTAATTTTAACAGCATCATCAATTCATGTTAAAAGACATTGTACTTCACCTACTCCTACTGGGAATTAAATAAATTTACCTTCTTGTTTACAGTACGACATTCTTAGCTTCTGGAATTATGTAATTTCAATGAGAAATGTGCAAGTTATGCTTAGGGGCTCACACCGCACAGTACAGTGTATACACAGTACAGCTGTAGCCGACAACACTGTGTAGTGAGACGAGTCACTTGTGTTGAGACGAGTCACATGTGTTGAGACGAGTCACTTGTGTCATAAGAGTCTGCTAGTAGTGCCGCCTGGTGAGTTGCCTCCATAACATGTACCTTCAAACAGTCCTAGGAAATTGTCTCGAGTAAAATTAAACAATGAGAGGTAGAGTAATATTAACATTCAAACAAAGGGGTTTTAACATTTTACTTTGATAGTCTATGTTTCAAAAGTCAATTCGTTTTTACTTTGTTGAAAATGATCATATATAACTGTCAGTGTTATCCTAAAGTAAAATAATACAAGAAATTCTTATATGTAAATCTCTGGCGAGGATCTATGTGAAGAAAAGAATATTGTTCTTAATTTATCTAACAATTTATTGAATTATCAGTCCCATACCTATTATTGTATATACGGCAGGAATTGTTTAATGGATGATATCATAATTAATAGCCTTGTAAAGCATGGTCAACATTTCTTAATATATTTTAACCTTTAATGTGTTTAAGTATAATGCCTTAAGAAATATTTTCAATTGCATGCTGAAGCTGCAATTGATAGTTACCCTAAAAATATTATGTTTGATATTTTAATTAAGAGATGTCGCTTCAGGTTATACGTGTAAGTTCCTAAAGGCAAACATATATGTCTTACTATATATATCGGCTCAAAACGCTTAGTTGTATGTGATTTTATTAAAGGAGGCTTAAACTATACACAGGATTAAGATATTCCAAGATGAACCAAGCGGAGATAAGGAAGCTCATCCCAGCCATCCGTGTTGGAGTTTGTGCTAAACGCAAGAAATTCTCCAACCCCAAAGGCCCAGAAGGAAGGTTACACATGCTGAGGGCTACAGTGTCTGATCTAATAAAAAATGAACGGATTGAGCTAAATTACCCCAGGGCTGATGAGGCAAGAGGTTACACTGAGCGAGTAAGATATCCCTATTATTTGGGTTTTATTGACTTTATTGCCACCAACTGAATCTCGGGAATTTTATATTTGCAATCGATAGTACAGAGTATTCTAAGACGGTCCGACTAATTACCCAAATGTAGCAGCAATGAAGTCATATAATGGTCCTACATGAATAAATCGGACTGCCAACCACTTCTCCACTAGTATTTGGTGTCACAGTCACAAAAAATTGGAAAACTTAATTTAATCCGAGTTGTGTTAGGTTAGGTACATGCACTCGATCTATTAACTCAGATTAAATTAAGTTTACCAATTATTTTTACTTCGTGACACCAAATACTAGTTGAGAAGTGATTGGCAGTCTGATTTATTCATGTAGGACCATTATTTGACTTCATTGCGGCTACATTTGGGTAATTAGTCGGACCCATTCTGAGACACTTTTCTATGACATTTCCCTCACAAACGACCTATAATGTGCCAACACCTATTTATATACTGTTTCTTGTATAGGGAGAAAAAGCAAAAAAACAAAAAAATTATTTACTGGGCATTTCTGTCAGAAAGCTAAATATTTAAAAGTTGCCTAGGTCGTTTGCGATGGAAACGTCATAGAAGAAAACTGTCTTAGAATTGTCTGAACTATTGATTGCAAAGATTGTAATTATGTAAGAACATAAGAAAATAAGGAGTCTGCAATAGGCCGGTTGACCTGTGCATGGCAGCTCCTGTCAAGAGTTACTACCACTCTCTATCATCCATGAATCTATCTAGCCTCCTTTTAAAACTTTCCAGAGTTCCAGCACTTACTACAAAGTTGCTAAGCTTGTTCCACTCATACACCTCCCTATTTGTGAACCAGTTCCTTCCTATCTCCCTCCTAAACCTAAACTTATCCAACTTAAATCCGTTGCTCCGAGTCCTATCCTGCTCGGATATTATAAGAATTTTTTCTATACAGTATCTCCTTTATTGATTCATTTCACCCACTTAAATACTTCTATCATATCTCCCCGCACTCTTCGTCTTTCTAGGGAATGTAAATTTAGTTTCTTTAATCTATCTTGATATGGAAGGTTTCTAAGTCCCGTAATCATTTTCGTCATCCTTTGCTGCGCCGACTCCAGTGAATTGATATCCATTCTATACTTAATAAGGGCACCAGAACTGAACAGCGAAATTGATTGAAAACAATTATAAAAATGCCGGATTTTCATTGTTATATTTTAGTGGACACTGTTATAGTTTGTGGAAATATGTTAAAATAAGGATATTTAAAAAAAATAAATGCTACTTAACATTTGTGGTTATGAAGAACAGACCTAACCAACCAAACCAAATAAACCTACCTAACCTTACCTAACTTCCCGGTATATTAAACTGAAAGAACTTCCTATGATTTGGTGAAATTTGAGCCATTTCTGGACGTGAGATGGTATAGCCGCATTGGCACTATGCAGCCCAGCGGGTTAGTTCTATATATTAACCGCAAAGATAAAATTCCCAAGATTTGGTTGGTGGCAAAAAATTTGGGGATTATATAGGACTAACCAATGAGCGAAATTTATCGAAAAAAAAATGAAAACACCGGATTTTCACTGTTATAGTGGACACTGTTGTAGTTTGTGGAAATATTTAAAAAATAAACGTTACTTAACATTTGTGGGTATGAAAAACACTCCTAACCAAACAAACCTACCTAACTTCCTTCCCGGGGGGGCTTACTATGATATGGTGAAATTTTAGGCATTTTCTGGAGGTGAGATGATAAGGCCGCATCTGCGCTATGCACCCCAGGCGGCGGAGTGATTCACTGTGATTTACAATAAATGTTTTATCATATCGAAACTCACTAATGAAAATAATGTTAGAAAATAAACAGTCTCTGTAAAGGAACAATGCCATGATCTGTAAACAATTGAAGGGTCTTTAACCCAAAAGTCACAAATTACGTCCATGTAAGATCGGCAGTAACCTTCACACGACATGCTGAAAAACAAACTGCCCCGGACGCGTGAAAAGCCCTTCAGCAGAGAACGGCCTCATTACCACTCGCAAGATAAACTAGTGTGCATCTAGGTGCCTAATTATCTATGAAATTAATTATTTCCACAATAAATGATAATCATATCAGAACCCACTGATGAAAATATTGTAAGAAAATAAACAGTAATAAAAATAACTCGCTCATGGGTTAGTCCTATATATTCACCAAAAATGCAATTTTACCATTATTTATGTTAAAATAAAGTGTTTGGGGTAATAGTCCAGGTTAATAAATCTGACTTTGGTAACATGTTCTTTGGATGATGGTAAGCAATAAACACTAAACTATATAACTGCACAGAACCTAATAGAACCTGACCTAACCTAACCAAAGAAACATGGTAAAATTTTAGTTTCGGTCATCCTCATATTTAGATATCCAAACTAACCTAACCTAACTAATTCCCCGGATGACCAATACTAAAATAATACCAGAAACATACCTAACCTTACCTAACTTCTTAACTGGAAGGTTAAACAAAAAGAACTTACTGTACTTTGATATCTGGTACCCATGAAAGCAAGTTTTTTGAAGCGGCATGTTTGTAATTTTACATATTTTGTGGACATAAGAGTATGCTCGGATGAAGCATTTTTTGCACTGAAACAAACAAAGAGCAGGAAACCAACAAAGAGCGGACAACAACAAACGCTGACATGGCAGATCTTTCAGTGGAAAAATATCTAGTGAGCAGGGCATGAAGGATGAGGGAAATTGCGAGGTAAAGCACGGTAAAACAGTGATCATAACAAAAATGATGTCTCCATGCTTTTTACACGAAGAAATTAATTACAGTATAGTCTGGATTTATGCTGTTTTTGGTTTACGCGTTTGGTCATTTACACGGTGCCTTGCCAGATTGAAATGTTTTAATTACGCGGTAAATTTCATCATTTATGCGGGAAGCGCCGCGGGCAGGGTGCGTACAAGGTTGCCCAGTCATCAAAACATTACCGAGTTCTTCACCCGCCGCCCACCACAGCCGGCCCAAGTCAGTGATAGTGATACTGAGGATATGGACTTTGAGGGGTTTGACAAAGAGGCCCTGCAAGCCTTTGTGGTGGATAGTGATACAATTGATACAAGTGATACAGGTGAGGGCCAATAATCTGCCCTCTGCCTCGGAACCAACCCCCCATCCCCGTGTGCCCAGCCATCTTTTCTACTAACGTAAGTGTTAAAAAACCTAATATTATTGATATTTCTCTTTAATATTAATTGTGTGTGCATACCATCATAAAATTAAGTTGTTATTTTTACTACAACATAGGTATTGTGTCGGTAAAAGTGTAGTTTGGGGGTCTGCCCAGTCTCTATTTCAATTAATCCCATATGTTCTGTTATTTCGTTTACGCGTTTCTCGTTTTACGCGAACCTCCACGGGTTCAATTGACCGCGTAAATGCAGACTATACTGTATTTACCATAAACATTCTGTCGAAAAATCTGCTATCGGTGCAACAACCGAGCCACTTGGTCTGAGCGTACTCTTATGTTCATAAAAAAAAAAAAACCCATAAAATTACACCATGCTGCTTCAAGAAAGTTGCTTTCATTGGTTCCAGATATCAAAGTACATGTACAGTAAATTCATTCTGTTTAACCTCCCGGCTAGGAAGTTAGTTAGCATTAAGTACGTTTCTTTGGTTTGGTTGGTTAGGCCAGGTTCTATTAAGTTTTGCGCATTGTCATATCATTTTTATTGCTTACTACCATCCAAAGTACATCTGTGGAAGAAAATTAATGAAATCGAACAACTCCTTCTGGTGCTAACCGTCTCCTCCACCACTACCTTCATAGTTTCCTAAGGCGCTGTTTGGATGATAGTAATAAAAATGATACAACTACTATTTCATTTTTATTGAAATTTGGTATTACTTCATGGCACTGAACAATTTCTAAAAACATGATGCAAACAAACTTAACAAACCTAGAGTGAGTTCAGTTAAGTTGGATTAAAGTGGTACAGTACTGTATTAGGTTTAATGGCTTTGTGAAGTCTGTTTCATTATTGTGTACATCAAGTTGTAATGCACGGTGTTTAATTACAGTACCATTTATTGTGTGACACTGCTATTTTTTTTCTTTTTTGCTACAAAATTCCTGCTGTAAGAGTATTAGTAGCTACAGTAATAGTTACAAGCTTTCTTAAGTGTTTTATTGCCTGACTAGTTAGTTTGTATTAAAGAAAAAGAAATTTCCTCTTCATGTTAGCTTAATTTCATTTAATAATGTATTTACCAGAAATACCTTACTATAGCCATACTCTGAACTTTATACATGTACAGTACTGTGTTTGGGTGACTTGCTCTAGTACTGTACAGTACTGTATAAGTATTCAAGTAACAGCCCAGCCTTCATCACTTAGCTATGTAAAAAGATTCATCCTTACAGAAGATTTGGATGTAAATATATCAGTGTACAGTACTGTTTTAAAATTATCGTCCTGTACTATGTATTTACTATTTTGCAGCTTATTGCCAATACCATTAAGTACTGAGACTGTCACATTTACGATTTTACAGCTTATTGCCGATGCCATTAAGTACGGAGACTGTTACAGACCCACAATGGAGACAGCTGACTACTGGTTGACAGAAAAGCAGCTGGTACATAAATTATTTAAGGTAAGTAACAGCCAGATTTAAGTGCAGTACAAAGGAATTTAATATATATTTTTTTCCTTAAAAGTATTCTAATACTGTGTGTATCAGAATGATGAAGCAGGACAAGGAATTTAATTTTCTGTCCTTACTTTTCCTATGTAAGAGCTGGAATCCTACTCCAGCTTATGTATTAAGCCTAATCCTATCAAAAAGCTAATTTTGTTAATGGGTTTTGCTCCAGGAATGGGATTAAATGTTTTACTAAAATGTGTAATGTAAACCAGAAGTAGACCAATGACCCAGAAAACCCTCTTTTAGTGGATATCATAGCCAGACAGCTTGGAAACCTTCTTACCTCCCTTGGGGTTGTCTTGACAAATGAAACTGATATCTTTTTCCTGGTAATCCAGTATGCAGATGTGGATTCGCTTAGGGAGGAAGGGCAAGCACTGCACCAGTGGTGTATGTTTTGGAGACCATTTTCCCTGGTCACAGTTTTGGAGTTAGTAGTCTTGACTACATTACTGCACTGTACATGCTCCTCAGTGAAAGCTGGTCGTTCAGGAGTTGGAAGGGTATCAGTTAAATATTTATTAAACAATCAACTCTGGTAGACACTTGGGGTCCGGACATCCAGTCAAAGAGCTCAAAGGCCCCATAAAGTGTCTCTCAGCGCTGTACTATGAGAGCTGCATGGCTACAGGTATAACTAGAAGAAGGGATTTTAACACTATTCCTCCTTTTTAGGGGCTACTGTATATTAATTTCATCAGAGATACAGTCTTCTGGATTCTAATGTTTAGCTCTAGACCATTATCATGGATCTTGGGAACCTTGGATTGTCAGACATGTTGACTGTACATGAGTAACTAGATCCATTCTTGGTTAAAAAAAAATTGGATTTCAGGATCAGTTAATTTAAAACAGTAAACAAACTGTTCCTGAATGGCCGTTATATAATGGGTTCTCTTGATCAAACACTTTTTTTAACATTGTAATTTTATTAGGATTTTATTTAGAATTTCAAAGTTTAATACAGAGGCATAAGACTGTACTAAATGCTTTCCAATAATTGTTTTAATTGTTTCATAGGTTCTAGTTCCACGCTACAAGGATACAAAGGATTCCTACACCCGGGTGCACAAAGCACCAAACATATACCCTGGCTACTTCTATGAGCGGTCTGTTCTAGAACTAAGAGGTTTGTAATCTGCTATTTTTTGTGGACAATTTGTGAATAATATGTTTAATTTTATGATTTATCTTGGTTAAGTCACTCCAGTAGTTAGAAGGTAATAGGCATGGGTATCTCAAATATACACCATTTTGCTTAAACAGTCTTTCAATAATTAGACACTAACAGGCAATGACCGTTATATGATGGATCTATATATGCTCGTTCATGGGTGTATGCATTATTTTTTCCGGGGCAAGAAAGCAAGACAAAACCTGACATATCAGTTTATTTAAAACAGGTATACAGTACATCCATATAAAAGTATGATAATGTAAAATTGAGTTACTTTCAAGTACTGTACTGTATGATCAGCAATATCACTTATCACTGTTATCACCAAATTATTAATCACTAATGATGGTGACTTACTTAGAACATTAGCAATGTAATTTCAGTGGTTAAATAAATACTGCAGGCAGTGCTTATCAGCTCCAAAATGATCAATCACGTCTTCAGTGAAGGCTTTCTTTCTATCTATCACCTTCTGGCAATGCATGCTGAGCATGCACACTCCAGACAAGCATTCAGTTGACATTGTTGATCAAAGCCATTTCTTGACACATCTTAGCATGCCAAATGACTGCTCAGTTTCACAAGTGGAGGCTGGAAGCAGTGTTGCCAACTTGGCGGAAAAACCGCTAAATCTTGCGGATTGTCCTTTCAAAACACGAATGGCTTAGACCAGGGGTGTCAAACTCATTTGCCAATGCGGGCCAGATTTAATATGAGTACACAGTATGCGGGCCAAGTAACATAATTATGAGCACTTCGCCATCACCTCTTAGGTGAGTAGTACGACAAAATAAGAAAGGTGGATTTAGTCTGCCCTCGTGCGAAACCCTTAAAAACAAACAAATCAAGTGTTTACTACCTTGATCAATCTTATTGTTTGCTACTGCTGCTTCCTGATAATTGACACCTCTTGGTATGCATCAAAGTTTGGCACTAACGACTGAGCTGCAGCAACCTTCAGTATTGAATTAAGATGCACATCAGTAAGTTAAGACCGAAGCCGAAACTTGTTCAAGTTCATCACAGAAAAGAGTTGTTCACAGACATATGTACTTCCGAACATTGACATAATCTTTGAGGCAAAACATTTAATCCTGGGAAAATTTGGTCCAAAATATTGATAAAATGTGCCAACATCAACACTCGAAAACTTGTTCCTCAACACAGAATCACACTGGAGCTCAATTAATTCTAACTGAAGATGTTCTGGTACCTCATTAACACCAACAGAGAATAGGTCCCGAAAAATTAAAAAAATCCTTCTCAAGTCTTGTAAAGTCAGCAAATCTTTCTTGGAACTCATTCATTAATTTGGAAATCTTGATGCAGTACTTTTTTGTGCTGATATCCGCCTGAAACTCAGGTGTGCCTTACAGGGACTTCAAGGTCGGAAAGTGAGAAAGATCACTCTCCGATAGTTGCCGTTCAAAAAGCTGAAGTTTCATCTCAAAGGCACGAATGCAGTCATAAAACTCTGTCACCAATTTATTGCGTCCTTGCATCTTTGTATTCAAGTAATTTAAGTGTTCTGTAATATCCACCATGAAAGTTAGATCTTGAACCCATTCATTATCTTTCAGTTCATGCAAATCCCTTCCTTTCTGTTCCATAAACATCTGTATTTCACTGCGCAATTCATATAATCGCTTCAGTACGACTCCCCGACTTAACAGCGAACATCAGTGTGATATGGCAGTCCGTGTGTGTTCTCATTTTCCTCCAATAAACAGTTGAACTATCTGTGGTTCAGACCTCGCGCATGTATGAAGTTCACTGTCTTTATAACAACATCCATGACATTATCCATCTTTAATGCCTTACTACACATTACTTCTTTATGTATAATACAATGCACATTATATATTTGATGGTTCAGGTTCACAGCTATAAGTTTTTCCTTTAATTTTGTTGCCACGCCAGCTTTTCTACCCACCATTTGCGGTGCTCCATCTGTAGCCAGACTCACAGTTTGTGCCCTGTCAACACCTAATTTATCCAGTGCCCCCACCAAACCCACAAAGATGTCATCACCTGTTGTTGTTCTTTTCACTGGTACCAGTTTCACAAATTCTTCTGTTACCTGCTTATTTTCATCCACACCACGTATAAAAACTGCAAGTTGTACTACGTCACCAACATCGGTACTTTCATCAATTGCAACTGAAAATGCAGTAAAGGACTTAACTTTGTCTTTGAGTTGATTGTTAATATTCTCTGATAATTCACCAATTCTTTCTGCAACTGTATTTCTTGAGAGGCTTATGTTTGCAAATGCTTGACATTTTTCTGGGCATATATCTTCTGAAGCCATCAACATACATTTCTTTATAAAGTTCCCCTCAGAAAACGGCTTTGATGACACAGCTATTTCATGGGCAATCCTGTAACTTGCCTTAACTGCAGCATCACTGACTTGATGAACACTCTAAAATACTGACGGCTGCTTTTTCGATGACTGCCTCAACTCCTTAACTTTGTCTTCAGGTAACTTTCCACTATATTTATTGTACTTCATAGCATGGTTAGTTTCATAATGCCTTTGAACGTTGTATTCTTTGGCCACAGCAACTTGTTGATTACAAATCAAATATGTTGGTTTTCCATTCATTTCAACAAAAAAAGTATAAGATTTTCCGCTTATCCTGTACCACCCGACGCTCTTCATTAACTGTTCTTTTCTTTGAAAACAAAATTATGGGCTCAAAAGTAAAAACAATGATCACTACTGCTTTGGATATTTGCAACGTTCCAACTGCCTCGAGCGACTATGCAGGACTTAGTACTTGAATGACTGGCCAAGCGAGAGCCTGCCACGTCAGAGTTTTCATGTGTAATACCTGTACTGTACGGAGTGTATACATGAACAGTAGTCAGTCGGCCGTCTCACGACTCGTACAGTGGCACAACCACAATTAGCCGTTAAAACCATCTCTAGTCTTATTGTTCTTTCATTGGTGATGTTGATTGTGTATTTTGTTCTAGGAAACAGCTGACTATTTTATTCAGTTGAGGGATGCACTCACTATTTAGTTTTAGCTCCTCAAGGTGAGGCTGGAGCAGCAAATGGGCTTTTGGGCCGCATGCAAGAGTGTGTCGGGCCGCAAGTTTGACACCCCTGGCTTAGACCTTTTGCGGATAGTGGATTTTCTGGTGCATTTTCACTGGATTTGGCGGAAGTTCTGGCAGATTTTGTATACATGATAATTATTAGTAATTAAAACCTATTCTTTGTTCCCTCGGAAATTTGAAGAAAAAAAATTTATTTAAAGTAAATAGAATACAGAGTAATGAACAACCCAACCTCGTCCCTCTGCTGTCCATTACATTTTCAAACTTGAGCTCCCACATTTGATAATGGTCCGGTGTGTGTGTGTGTCATTTGATTCAGTTGGCTGTGTCGCATTCGGTGTGGGAAACACTACCAAGAAATACTGATTTCATGGTGCGAGAAACTTACAACTGGTTTGGCCACTCATTTAAAAGACAGTTATTGTACAAGACTGTTTGAAACACTGAATGATAGGAAACAACAACTTCAGATTCCTAGAGTCTGCGACATGAGGTGGATTTCCTTGGAACCTGCAGTGATCCGCATCCTAGCCCAGTGGGAGGAACTTAGAATGCACTTTGATAGTGCGAGGTCATCAGAGAAGTGTTTAAGTGCTAAAGTGTTATTCAATATGTACAGTGACCCCATTAACAAATTATGCATACCCTATTGCGTCCAGTCCTGGAAGATGTTCAGCGAACTGTGAATGTGTTTCAGGGTGAAAACACTGATCCCACTAAACTTCTGTCTGACCTCACAATTCTCATCCTTGCATCAAGTAAGAGAGTGATTACGTATTCCTATGGCAAGAGTAGATCCTTTAACCCCTGAAATTATCTCTCACATTGACCCCAGGGCATATCTAGGATACGAATTTGAAAAGACTTGCACCAACTCAAAGCTATCAGAAAAAGCAGAGTGTGATCTTTACCAATGCTGCATATCTTGTGTTACCAGTCTCTGCAATTAGTTAAAAAACAGACCTCCTGATAACTTCAAAATCTTGAGGAAAATGTCTCTGTTTTCAGTTGTGGTATGTCAGAGTTGTGAAGGAACCAATAGTCGAGATAGCTGAACTTTTTTGGGTACCATCCAGAACAAATTGACAATCAGTGGCGCAACTTAACATTTGTTAAATGGCACAAGACCACGTCAACAGTAAAATTTTGGATTGAGGTAGAAGATTTCCAGGATGCTACAGGAGTAAATCTTTTCGTGACCTCTGTGAATTAACTATCAGTGTACTCTCCCTCCCGCACTCTAATGCTGAAGTCGAGAGACTATTTAGCCAGCTAAATATTGTTAAATCAAAGCTCAGAAATCAGTTGAATACAAGTTCAGTCTGTGCAATTATTGCAGTGAAAAGTGGACTCAGAAGAGTTGGAAAATGTTGCCATTCATATGAACTGCCAAAACAGGTACCTACAGTACCTATTGGTGTCTAGTTTGGTTTAAAATTTGTGCAAACCTTTTAAGCATACTGTAAATACAAACAGTTGAATGTTCTTAATGTTTATAAATACAGTCATGCGCCGGTTAACGTCCTAGATACGTTCTTGGAAACGTAGCGTTAACCGAAATGGACGTTGTCCGATCATCACATAAACTTTTTATTTATACTTATGTGTATGTGGAATACTATATACGTACATATACACTTTTACTCTTAAATCACTACAGTGACCCCTCGGTTAACGAACTCAATCCGTTCCAGAAGGTCGTTCGTTAACCGAAAAGTTCGTTAACCGAAACCATTGTTTCAATGGGTTTTTGGGTAATTGGTTCCAGCTCACCGAAAATTTCCTAAATTCAACAAAAATGGTAGAAAAGTTCACTTACTTTGAGGTGTGTATGTAGAAGGCTCCTGGATGATGATGATGATGATGATGGGATTTAGAATGGGG